GAAGGAAGCAAACAGAAAAAAGTAATAATAGTGGGGTCTCTGGTGCTCTCTTAGCTGGGTTACTTCTAGGTAACTAGGTAACATCAATGCGAGGAGAGTTGGGTTGCTTGCTTGCAGACATTTCATTACCCAACTAGGGAACATCATCAGTGCTAGGATGATAGAAATAATAACAAGTCCCCTTTCTTCTAGCTTTTTAGCTTGAACAGCAAGACAGCCCAGCTACAGCTGCGCCACCAAATAGACAACAGAAATTGTAAATGACAGAAATATGGAGGAACAATTCATAGGTCCTCAACTTACAACCATTCAATTGTGGTCCTAAGGACTACCTGTATGTCCATGTTCCCACCTACCCAATTCCTTCACACCAGCTGCCTTCACAGAAGACCCCCTAAATCAGAGGTCCCCAACCTTTTGGGCACCAGGGACCGGTTCCATGGAGAAAAGTTTTTCCACGGACTTAGTGTATAGTTTTGTGTGCTACCTGCATCCCACAGATGGGGCTTTGCTTGTTTGTGTGGACCGGTTGCTGGCACGTTGCGGACCGGTACCAGTCCCTGGACCGGGGATTGGGGACCCCTGCCATAAATGACTGTGTCCTTCTCCAGTCACATCATCTTCCAAGTCCCATCCAACAGGTGGGGTCTATTCAGCACACCCACAACACCGCCCCAGACTCTAACCAAGGTTAACACTCGCCAAGATTTGCATTAGCAGGTAAACCCCAATGATCCAAGTCAGGCAATGACCCCCACCAATGAATGGAGCACTTTTCCATCACGGAGAGGATGGACCTCCAACTTTCTCTAACGTGGTGCCTTGGAGGCAAACTCTCAACATTTGGGGAACCTCAGAAGCTGTTTTCTGTCTCTGCTCCTGAATAGCAGAGAGAGGGTAGATTTTTCTGGAACATAAAGAATATAAATTTCCCACTGGAAACACAGCAACCAGGGCGAAGTTCCAGCAGGAGCATTGATTTACAGCGGGTCTGTAGACATTCCTCAAGCTTTCTAACATTGGCTTACTTTTGTCAAGCTTCACGTGCAAATGCTGAACATTCTGCCAGGCTCCCCAAAGGTAACCAGGCAATGCTGGTTACTGTAATACAGGCAGTCCTCCACTTACAACAGTTCCTTTAGTGACCATTCAGAATTACAACAGCACTGAAAAAGCAACTTAGAACCATTGTGCAAACTTACAGCCATTGCAGCATGATCAAAATTCAGACGCTTGGCAACTGATTCATATTTATGACGGTCGCAGTGTGTCCTGGGGTCATGTGATCCCCTTTTGCAAAGCAAAGTCAATGGGGGAAGCCGGGTTCACCTAACGACACATCTGCAAGGATTCATTTAACAACGGTGGCGGGAATGGTCTTAAAAATAGGGCAAAACTCACTTAAGAAATGTCTCGCTTAGCCACGGAAATTTTGGGCTCAAATTTGGTCGTAAGTCAAGGACTACTCCTATAGCCCTGGCAGAACTCTATAAAATATAGACAGAAAAAGGCAAGTGCTAGAATCAGCTAATATGCAAAGCCATCCTATCTGGAAACAGCCTCAAAGTAAATGGAATATATTGGAGACCTCGATGTTAAAAAAACAAAACAAAAAACAAAAAAAAAACCCTAAATGCTAAAACAGCTCCATTCTGGCTCAGTTTGAGCTAGTCTGCAAAGTGATGTCATTATTTTTTTTAAAAGCATAGTGGCAGTGCTAAGAGGGCAGAGGGTGTGTGTGTGTGTGTGTGTGTGAATAAAATGCTCTTGATAGCGCTGTGCATTTGGCACCTCCGAGTTTTGTTGGCACCTGGAAAATTGCCCGTGTCAACCACTCCAAAACCCAATAAATATTTTCTGCAAATTTCCTATTTTCCTCTGTTGCTGGCAATTGGGTTTTGCAAAAATTTCAAAGCAGGTTTCAGGACCTATCACCCCACCAAAGTCCTCAAGTCAATTCTGCATTGCCTCTCTCCCACCCAGGATTTATCCTTCACTCCACCCTACCCCACCCCAATCTTTTGGGGGGGGAAGAAAAGCAAACCCACTCACGAAGCTGTATTTTAAAAAAAACATGTACCAAAGGATTCTTGACCCATTTGAAAAAGGCTGGAAAGTCCCAAGACCTGCCAACCACATCAGTCCATTGATGGGGAAAAAAAATGATTTATTTTCCTTCCAGTATGGAACACCTGACATTCCAGGTAAGGGTGGGTGAGCTGAGAATGATATATTTTTTAAAAAAAGTCGACTTTGAAAAGAATGAAGGGCTTCAGAAAGGCTATTTCAGTTAAGGTGGGAAAAATAAATCAACCTCCACCTCAAGTAAAAAAAAAAACAAAGATACTTGTAATTTTAAAAAAGAGAGTTTTGTTCTTACCCGCACAGGATTTTAAACATCTGCAGTTGTTTAAAAAAAAATACACACCCACCTACTTAATACACCACACTTCTGACTGTGTCTGGCTTTTATACCATGCCTCTAAAGTAACCCTAACCACAAACAGGCGTCTGAAGGTAAAATGCACTGCAATGTACAGGCTCCCAATCTTTTAACCTCTGTATTAATTCATAACCCCCCAACACACACACACACACACACACACACACAAACCCTCTGCCCTCCCCTTTTCAGCTCAGAAAGACAAGCCATTTCTGTCATCTATTTTGAGTTGCACTTATCCACACACAGACCCAGGGAAAAAAACACACCCCACAACGCTGCTATTTTGATTTTATTAAAGGGCAATTCATTTATTCTTGAATTGCAGGAGAGAAAGAAATAGTTAAGGAGAACATTACGAGGGGAGGGGGAAAGATGGAGGAATAACCTCAGCACATGCATTTATTCCTCAGTCATGTCCCTACCACATACATATACACAATGCAATGACAAGATTTTTTTTAAAAAAAAAATCATACCAGCTCTCCAACTTAATTTTTTTTAAAGCTTTTATTTGGATAAAGCACCAGCTTTTTTTCTCCCTGCCACCCCAAAAAGGAGTTAATTTTAACTGCCATCACAAGGAACTTGCTAAGCCAAGCCAGCTATTTCTTTACTAGTTCAAAACTTTGGTCCCAGCAAGATAAACAATTCAAAAGGCAAAGGAATGTGTTTGGCTGTTTTAAATGCTGCCCAAGCATTTGTCCTTCGAGCATAAGATACAATTCAAGAACGTTCTCAAAACTTTTGTTGGTTAACTCAGTTTTGCTTCGAAGATTCTAAAAGTTATTCTACCAATTTGTGCTCAACCATCCATTAGCAATTTTTGCAATTCTGAAGTATGTATGAAAACTTTAGAAACACCACCAGAGCAACAAAGCCTGTCTCCTTTTTAATTCCAACACCCCGATTTATTTTTTATTTTATATCATAAATATGAGCCAATGGCCAAGTGAGCAGGGGACTGCTGCAGCGGTTGTAAGTGTGAAAAACGGTCATAAGTCACTTCGTTTAGGGCTGTTGTAACTTCAGACGCTTACTAAACAAACTGTTGTAAGTTGAGGACTCCATATATGTTTTCCATATCCATTTAAAATCAAAATCAAAAAGGCTTTACTAGACAAAGATCTTGGGCCATGAGGGGAATTTACAAGAGCAAAAAAGCAAATTTGGGAAGAGCCATTTGCAGAAACAAACAGCAGCTGCTGCTAAGATACATGGACTTTCCCAAAGCATACTTAAGAAACAAAAGAGAATAAAGATCAGGCTTTTTTATTCCACAAGGGAAGGGGGGGAATCTAAAATCCTCAGACAAGCACAGTAACACCATTATTTTACAAACCAAACTAGCAGAAGAGACAACAGCAGCTTCAAATTCTCCAGCACTCATTCTGGAGCCAATCAACTGACAAGGGGAGGGGGGGAGAAAGCAAGGGATAGGATGTGCCAGGATAGAAAAATCCAGGGGAAAAAATAAAAATGCAGGAAAAGCAAACAAAACAAGCCATAAACCAGATGTTTCAGCCCTGACATTTCGCTCAAGATAGAAATGTGATGGCTTAGAGTTGAATCGTATGTGTCAGCTTCTCAAAATAGGCACCAAAACAACAGTTTTCAGTTCTCGCTTCCTTTCAATCTTAAGAGAAAATGAATTTATTTCCTCCTGCCCTCGGCAAATTGGGAAGAAATATACCATCTGCTATCTGCCCGGTTAAAAACAGATTATTTTTTTTTCCTACCCCAGCCAGGGATCTACTGATAATAACTTTGTCCCTATCAGGGGAACAGACATCTGGTTTACATGGTTCATATGGAACTTGGTTTCTCCTTCATGGATTCAGAAAGATTTGGAAACAGGCAGACGCTTCCCAGCTGTCCTGAGCTGCTTCCAAAGAAAAGATCAGCTCATTCCCGTTTTTTTGCTTTAAATGTTTGTGCCTCCCCTCTCAAACAAGGTTGGGGGGGTGGCCCCAGATGGCTAAACAGAAAAGGGAAGAATCCACCAGGCAACAGCCTAAGCCATTTTTACTTGGAATGGGGACACCTCCGGCATTTTCTCAGCCAACCCTCCAAATTTTACCGCACCGGCCACAGCAGGCTTAAATCTCCTTGGCAGCCAAAAGAGGGGTGCAGCTGGGGTTTCTTGGGGTACCTGCAGGGCTGTTCCAGAAGGGGGGGAAGGCTGTTTTGTGCAGAAAATGAGCAGGGGAAGTGAAGTCTCCCTCTGGGAGCGATGGGGGAGCAGAATTCCCCCCTTGAAGGGGTGGATTAAAGGAAAAGATGTGCACCCCACCTTAAAAAGGGGGGATTAAAGGGAAAAATGTGCACCCCACCTTAAAAAGGGGGGATTAAAGGGAAAGATGTGCACCCCACCTTAAAAAGGGGGATTAAAGGGAAAGAGGTGCACCCCACCTTAAAAAGGGGGATTAAAGGGAAAGATGTGCACCCCACCTTAAAGAGGGGGGATTAAAGGGAAAGAGGTCCACCCTCCCCCTAAAAAGGGGCGATTCAAGGCCCCCCCCCATTCTTCCCGCGCAAGAAGCCCAGCCAGACTCACCCGGGTGGGAATGGAGGTTGAGGCCCGGGGCGGCGAGGTATTTACCCGGCGGCAGCGGCGGCGTCGCCAAAGGAGCCAGGCGCGCAGCTCCGGCAGCGGCGGCAGCGGCGGCGGCGACGTGGCTCTCCATGGCCAGCCCGGAGAGCAGCGGCGAGGGGACGTGGACGGCGCGGGGAGCCCCCAGGTCTCTTCCATCCATCCTCCGCTGGCCGATGGCCGCCCGCGCCGCCCCCCTCCTCTTCCTCGGGCCGGCCCCAGCCTCAAAGGTGGCGGAGTCCGGAGCGCGCCCGCGGGGATCGGGGATCCATCATCCTGGGGGGTCCTGGAGTCCTCTTCCAGCCAAGGAGCCTGAGGAAACGGGGGTGGGGGGGGTGAGTGAAGGGGGGGGGCAGAGAGACAGCAAGGATTTAAAAAAAGATAAACCAGCCAGAGACAGACAGACAGACAGGCACATCCCTGGAAAGGGGGAAGGTGGGGGGGATTTCTCTGGGGGAGGGCAGAGAGCCCCCTCCCCAAAACCTAGCCTTTCTGGGAGTCCCCTCCCCTTACCCAGCTGCCTGGTTTTGGGGGGGGGGTGTAACTGGCTTTTCCTTTCGAGAGAGAGAGAGAGAGAGAGAGAGAGAGAAATACATTCAGTCCTGGGTGGTGAAATGCAGGAAGGAGAGAAGGGAGAGCAAAATGAGAATTGTCACCCCGAGTTCCCCCGGAGAAAGGGAGGCTCCTGGACCCCCGAAGGATCGCCCCTTCCTCTTCAAATGGAAGCTGCGTTCTCACGTAAACGCACCGCGAGGTCTGGGGGGGGGTCACAAGCAGCTGTCGGACGCCTCCGCCTCGCTTCTTCAAAACGGGGAGCGTCTTTTTAAACCCATTTGGGTAGTTGTTTTTTTTTACGGACAAAAAGGAGAGGGAGGAAATAATCCCTTTTTCCGCACACCCCCCCTTTTTTTCTTTTTTTTGGGGGGAAAGGCTGAGAGAGCTTTGCGTTCCCCCGGGGTCGCTCCAGCCCCCCACCCACCTACCTACCTACCCACCTGGGCGGACATTTACTCGCGAGGAGAAGGCAGCCGGCGAAGCTGCAACCTAAAGCCCCAAGCGGGGCGGTGAGCGAGAAGCTGAAAAAACCCGCATTCAAAATTGCGCTGCCCTTGAACCTCAATTTATGGCGTGGGGGGGGAGGCTGTGCAGGGAAAATTAGCCCGCCCGGTTTGATCCCACCCTGTTAGTTTTGAAAAAAAATAAAAAAAAAAATAAAGACCATTTCAATGGATTAACACCGCGCCGATCCAGGCTTCCTGAACCTCACTCTTCCCTTATATTTTATTTGTTTCGGACCTTCATTTTCCCCCCTTTTTTCTCTATCAAATCTGATTATAACCTCAACCCTTCCCCAGCCCCCCTCCAAAAATAAATAAATGTAAAAAAGGGTTAAGGTTGTCCCCAGCTTTAAAAATAAAGAGTGGAAATAGCGACGTATTTAATGTTTAACCTTCTCCGCCTCGCAGGCAAGCTAGCTCAGATAAAGAGCCAGGATTTTTGTGTTTTTTTTTAAATGCAGAAAGCTTCGGGGGGGGGCTCTCGTCATTGAGTGAAAAACAATCTCCCCCCCCCGATACCCGTCCCCCCCCCAAAAAAAAATCATTTCCCTCCCAGCCTTCTAACTCTGCAGTCTGAGATAATTAAACTCAGAAGCCCCGCTGTGGACATGAGGACTTGCTGCTTAAGAAATCCAGGCTGGTGTGGGGAGGGAAAACGGGGGGGGGGGACAGAGAGAGAGGAGAGAGAGAGAGATATCCAGGACCACTTTTTACATATTCCTAAAAAGGGCACCCCATTCTCCCTGTTTACTCAAGGACGCGGGAGCTGCAAGCTGGTAAGATTCAGACGTGAGTTTACGCCCCGGTGGAGAATGCGCGAAGCCGGTGTGGAATTCAGTTCTCCCATTTGGCATCTAGGAGAGCCGAGGAGAGCCAGGACAGGCGGGAGCCGGCTTAAGCACCCCTAAGCGATTATATTTACAAGCGGGCTTCGGTTACCGAGTCGTATTTTATTTAAAGGAATACGTCTCTCGCTTTCCGCCTGCTCGCGCCTGCCCTTTGCAAAATATTCCAAAACGAGGGATTGAAATCTCCCCAAAATGCGCGGAGGAAGATCGAAGGTAAAGCCTTTGGGGAGGGGGGGGAGGAAAACCAGGTCTTTCTGCGTCCTCCCCACTGGCCAGCCGGCTTTGATTTCTGTCCCCCCACCCCCCAGCCCCTTGGAAATCTATTTCCTACCTTTCCTGGAAAAATTACTAATAAAAGCCCTAATCCTGCAGTCTCAAGGTTGCCCTTTATCAAGTCACGCAGAGAGCAGGAGAGGCTGAACTAAAATCAAATTTAAAAATAAAAATAAAATAACGCCTAAGCTTTCATTTTAGGCCGAATCGGGTTTTACCGTCTCTTGGATTCAAGGCAATCCTCTACTTTGGGGGGCGTGGGGGCAAAAGGGGGCTCAACGGAAGGGGGGGAAGATCTAATTGCGATTTTGGGTAGGTGACTCCGTAGAATAGACGGGAGTTCGCTTTCCCTGTGAAAGGGAAAGTTCTGGGTTTCTTCGGGCGGGAGGCTCCCCCCAAAGTGTCCACGCGTGTAAAAAAAATCGCCATAAATCCTCTCTCTTGGTGTCCCGCTGGCCACAGGATTCCTCCAGGACCGAGTGTGTATGTGTGTGTTTGTGTCGGTGCGGGTGGATCCACACGCCAAGGCTCCGCTCGCTCTCTTCAGGGTGAAAATAAACTTCCTCTGCAACTTCCAATGTAGAGTTTGGGCCAAAATATTAAGAGATTTTTTTTTCCCCCTCCTATCTCGTTTTTCCCCTTGCTTGCCTCAGTAATCAGTGCTCCCTCTCCCAAAATGGCTGAATCCCCGATTTTAATTAAAAACAGCCCACCCGAAGCGGGGAAGGAGGGGGGGGACGCGAAAATGCCTGTTTGCTTTGCTTTCTTTCCAAGAACGGGCGGAAAAAGAAAAAAAAGAATTTAAAGGAGGGAAAAATAGCCCTAGATAGTGTCACTTCTCTCCGGTTGAAAAAAGGGGCTGCAACTCCATCCGGCCTCTTTCTCCAGACGTCTAGGGAGGGGGCAAAAAGCTGACCCCACAGTCAAGATTGTCTCCCCCCCCCTCACTCCCCTCTTTTTTTTCTGCCCCCCTCCCCAGCCAAAACAGCCCTCCCCAAGTGGGAAAGTTGGCCGCGCCGCCCTTACCTTCCTCTCTCGGGAGATGCCTTCACTGGCTTCCTAGCCCGATCCTGGTGGGCATTTTCTGAAGAGGGGTCTCTTGGCCCCTCGGATCCGTTGCCTCCACCACCATCAGCAAAAGGGGGGGCCAAAGAAACCCCCTCTCTTCCTCCCCCCCCCGCAAAAAAAATCCCCCTTTCCGATTTTCGCCCCGGCGCGTAAAAACCAAAATGCGCCCTAGCTGGAGAGCCCCGGGGGTCGGTTCCTTCCTCCGTTCCAGGTCCCCCTCCTCTTGGCTCTTCGCGGGTGGGGGGGTCTTGCACGGACGGCCCCCTCCGGCCCGAAAGAAACCCCCAGGAAGGCGGAGAGAATTCCGAACTGCTGGGTGGAGAGGGGGGGGGAAAACCCCACGATCCCTGGCCTCTTTCGCTGCCTTAGTTTCCCCTACGAAGCGCGCCCAGGCTCCTGCTGGTTAATCCTTGGCCATCTCCATATACGCTCCGCGTCGGAAAAGGTACATTACCCAAGCCCCCCCCCCTTGCAAGTTTCTCTCCGAAGATGTAAAAAAAAAAAAAGAGGGGGGGAGGGCGAGGAGAAAGGCGGGGAGGGGAGGAAGAAAGAAACTAGCAATGAAACAAGCATTGTTTCGCCCAGCCCGCCCCCCCCCCGCCACTCGGAATGTCTTCGTGGGCTTCCCCATTGGCTGCCCCGCCTGCCACTCGCGCTCATGTAAATACTTTGGCTGACCGCCAACCTTATCAAACCAATTATGGAAGGGGGGGGGAGGAGAAGGAAGAAGAGGAGGAGGAGGAGGAGGCGAGCAGTTTCTAGCCTCCCCCCGCCGGCTTGGCTTGAATGAGCAAGAAGGGGCGGGGCGCACTTTGAAGGGCGGTTTCCAGGCGCCCCCCTTTCCAGTTCCCTCCAGTTCCGATTCAACCTTCCTGTTTTGTTTCTGTGGTTTTTGTTTTCCACCCTTTTTCTTCATTTTTCCCCCCTTTTTTCTTTCTTTCTTTCTTTCTTACTTTTTTTTTTTCGTCCTCCGGGCTGGTCAGGCTTGATCGAAACGGAGAAGGGGGGAGGAAGAAAGATGGTGGCGGTTGGGCTGCCTGGTTTTTTTTTTTCAGCGCGCTGCCCCAAGCTAAAAAACGGCCCTCCGCTCTCTCTCTCTCTCTCTCTTTTCTCTTTCCCTCTCTCCCTCTCTTTTTAAAAAAAGGACTTTTCGAATAAAGTAAGTGAAGACGGAGATGCATTCTTGATAAAAGGAAGAAAAGGAATTTGGAGGGGGGGGGGAAGAGGCTGGAAGATTTTGCAGGGGGAGGAAGGGGGAGAAGGAAGGGGAAGGGGTCTCGCCTGCTGGGCTTGGGGTCGCGCGTGGGGCGGCTGGGCTAGGACTGGGGTCTTGTGCCTGGATTTTATTTTTTCGAGCCGGACAGCTTCACGCGGGAGGAAAGCGCGCGGCGCCCCCAGGTAAGCAAGCAGCCGATCCTGGCCTCGGGGGGAGGGGAAGGGGGCGATCCTCCTTTGCACGGGGGTCCACCGATTTCCCCCCCGGCGAAGGGAGGAGGACACTCTATCCGGAGCCCGTGTCTCCAGAATCGGCAGCAGCCGCCCTGAAAAGCCTGGGAGCCAAGACGCCTCTTGGAGCGGAGTAAATCATCTTTTTTCCCCTCTTCCTTTCCAAGTTTTCAACCGAAGCGGGGCTGTCATTGACCCAAGAATTATACCCAAAATAGATCTACCTAGATGTTATTTCAGGACGTGCTTTTTTGGGGGGGAGGGTGGAGAGCGGCAAAGGGGGGGGGGAAGGATGGCGGCGTTGTTATACCCGAGTCAATAATTTATTGTGAGTAAAACCCATTTGGTTTTTGTTAACTCCCATCCGCCACGCTCGCTTCGCCTCTTCTTTAAACAACGTTGATTAAAGTCCAGCGGTTTTGTACGCTGTGTGATCTCAGAAACGGGGCAGGGGGGAGGTCTTATTTTTTTTCTCTCCTAGATTACATTTCTGGGACCCCCACCTTCCCCCAAACCTGTTCTACATTCCTTTTCTAGCCCTCATCTACAAAAGCTCCGGATTCTCCCTTTGTCATTTTTTTTGAAGGAATTAAAAAAAACCATTTTTTTTTGTTTTTTTCTTTCCTTTTCATCTTACGCTACTATTACCAGGGAAGGGTAATTTTGCAAAATAATAATAATAATAATAATAATAATAATAATAATAATAATAATAATAATAATAATAATAATAATAATAATAATGCTTTTTAAACCCTTCGTTTCCCTCCGGAAAGGCTGGAAGGGGGAAAATGCCTTTTTCTGGGACGTAATCTGTGCATTCGCATTCTTTTCGCTTTTATTTTTTTTCCTCCCACCCACCCCCCACTCTTCCTTCGGAAAAAGGAAAGGGAGGGGGGCTAAGGCGAGGCTCCTTAAATTCGTTCGCTTGGCACGGGGAGAAATAAATAAAGGGACGGGTTTGATAGCAAGCCGTGGAGGATGGATCATGTATCCGCTGTTGCCCGGCCAGGATGTGTTATTTTTATATACAGTATCTAAGCTTTTTAATATATATTTTATATATATAAGCTTTTGGTTTAAAACACACCGTGGCAGTTTGCAGAGTGCTTAAGGAAAACAAGATGGGACTTGAGATAGGCAAATAATTCATATATTTTTTTCCCTTCGTCTAGCCTCTTTTCTTTTTTAAAATCTCTCTTCTTTTATGGGGCAGGCATACCAAAGATCGCTCGTAATCCGCCTGTATTTGCATGCAGGCTCCCCGCGGTTTTCCCGGGGGGGGGGAAGGGAAGGAAGGAGGGAGGGGAGAAATGAAAAAAACCCGATCCTCTTTGGGGTTAAGGACACGTACCCCTCCTTCTCCCCGCCCCACTTGGAGCTGTCCGTCTCGGGTTTCAAGGCCCTGTTCAAGTCCGCTTTTGAGGACTGGAGAGGCGGATTTCTCGAGCGAAAAATCTGCCCCTCGGAAAAATAAAAGCGACCAAGAAACATGCATCTGGGGGTTATTTTTTATTTTATTTTTCGGGGTTGGCGGCCTTTTGGGACACCGGGGCAGACTCAAACGCGACTCCCCTTTAGGGAAAGGGGAGGAAGGGGCGAAGAAGAAGAAGCGGAGAATGAAGTTCCCCCCCCTAGAATTTTTGGCTCAAATGGGTTTAGTTCTGGGGGGGAGGGTCTCTCTTTTCTTTTTTTCTTTCGCTCTTTTTCTCTCTTCGGAACGGAGCCGTTTCCAATTGCCCCCGAGCTTTCCCCAGGGCGGTTTCAAGGCTGCCCTTCGTTGGAAAGCAGACAGGAGGAGGAGGAGGAAAACACGAGGGGGGGGAACGAGAGAGAGAGAAAAAAAGTGAGGGGGGGGAGGAAAAGCTATCCAAAATAGTAGCGTAAGATGAAAAGGAAAGAAAAAAAAACAAAAAATCCAAAGGCGAGGCTATTAATGAAAAGGGCCGCTAATTTTGCAGCCCGGGTTTTGTTTTTTTTTTAAACGTGCCTGCCCCCCCCCGTTACTTCCATTCCCCCCCCCGGAGGAAAGGCTGACGACTTGGCAAGCGGGCCTTTATGGATGGGCTCCAAATTAGCGAGGATCAACCAGACGGAGGTGTTAAGACGGGGGTGGGGTTTCCTCGCCCGGTCACAAACCAATTCCCCCCCACACACACACACCATCCCAGATTTCGGTCGCGTGTTATTGTGTGTGTGTGTGTGTGTTGTCTTTGAACGGCTGCTTTTCCAAAGGCTTCCCTTTCTCGCTTCCCCGGGCTACGTGAATTCTCCAGAGTTTCACACCGACAGGAGAGCCCCTTCCCCGCGCAAAGCCCCCACCCCACCCCCCAACATCTTAAAAGGTGGGAAAGGAGCGTGGAGGTCATCTAGTCGCGCCCCCTACCCGGCGCAGGAGTGCCCGAGGCTCTTCCCGGATTGACCGATTTGTATTACTTTCTCTCTCTCTCTCTCCAGGAAAGGGGAGCACCCAATTCTGGACGCGGGGGGGTTCCCCTGCCTTTCAGCCAAAACACACTTTACACTCTGGGCACGGCGGTGGGTGGGACTTGAAAACACACACACACACACACACACACTTCTTTTCACCCGGAACGTCGGTCGGACAAGCGGGTTGAAGTTCCAGGGTGGCGAAAAAAGCAGCTGGGAATAAAAATTAAAAAAAAAAAAACCACGGTTCGTGGGAAAAGACGCTAGCGGCCAAATTCTGATTTTTACAGCATTTCTTCGTTCTTGGAAACGGGGAGATTCTCTCCCGTGGGGTTATTTGGGGAGGAGGAGGACTGCATTTCCAGCCCTCCCCCCCTCCAGAGCCGCTCATTAGATTAATGACAGCCTCCCCCCCACCCCCGAAGCTGTTGGAGAACCCCCGCCCGCCTCGTAAAAGCACCAAATATAGAAATCCCGATAAAGTCCACGCCGCGCGTTCCCTCCGAGCCGGACGCCCCTCCATCTGCCTTGCATTACCGTCGCTCGGCCCTTCGAGACCTTTCTTCTTCTTTTTGCCCCTCCCCCACCCGCCCCTAGAGTTTCCCCTGCTCCCCACCCGAGAGAAAATTGGAAATGGGGGGGGGGATGTTCTTTACAGCCCAGTCCTTTTACGCGCGCCTCGGGAAAGGGGCTCCCCAGATTCTCACGGCACGGCAAGAAAAGGCAAGGGGGAGGGGGAGGAAAAAGGGGAGGGGTGGGGAGAGGGGGAGAAAATGGGGGGGAGGAGGAACCCCCTTTTTCTCGCCCCGAGCTTGTTCCTTGTAAGCAACAAGGCCAGAGAGCGGAGGCGGCTGTTTTTCTCCCTCTGTTGTCTCGTTGCGCGCCCCCCACTTTCACTTCTCCGGAGAAAGCGATTGGAAACCAGCCCCCCCCCTCTCTTTCTCCCTCCCTTCCCCCACTCTTTACTCTGGAAGCCAAGATCCAAGGGGGAGGGATCGCTTTCCACGCGAAAAGCAAAATAAATACATCATCATTATTATTATTATTATTTTTAAAAAACCCAGTTAAGAGTCAAACTCGAGCTACGAGGAAGCTTCCCCGCGGTTGGGTAAGAGGTCGGGAGGCGCGAGAAGGGGAGGGGGCGTCTTCGCCTTTCGAAACCGAAGCGAACCCACCAAAGAGAAGGGGGGTCCTGGGCGGGTGGGGAGTGCCAGGACGACTGGAAGCCATCTTGTGAACTGCGGCTGGGTGGGGAGCTAAAAGGGAAGAGGGCCTTTTTGGGGGGAGGGGGGATGAGAATTTTGAAAAGTGGTTCCTTTCCCCCCCCCCCTTTCCCTTCCTTTTCCCCTCCGCCCCGCAATCTCTCCGGAGCGGTATTTGCGCGGCGTTGGGGCGTCGCGGTGCGCGCTAGCAAAGAGCGACTAAAATTTGCCATCAGCTGTTTTTCCAGGTTGGGAGCTAAAATAAGTTGTACGTCTCGCCGCCTGTCTCGTTGGCCTCCGGGCTATTGGAAGCGGCATGCAGGCACCTCTGCTTAGACCCAGAACAGAAAGTTTCTCTTCTCTGCCTTTCGATTTTTTTTCCCCCCCGGAT